CACAGGGGGCATGTGTCAGCACGTTCCCGCCGTTGTCATCTCATCCCTTGTCATAACCCCTCCACTAGGACTGGGACGCCGACCTCATTATGCTTGGGCCCACCCTCCCGCGCTGACCTGCACTCTGGCCCAGACTCTCTTGTCTACCAGCCCTCCCAGCAGCAAGCGCCTGTGCCCAGACCCGGTAGAAGAAACTCATCAGCACGTTCTCACCGCTGTCATCTCATCCCCTGCCTAGCTCCACCCAGAGCCTGGGAACCCCGGTTCTCTCAGGCCCATTGTCACTGGGCTTGGCCCCGCACTGACTACAAGCTCAGTCCTAGCCCCTGACCGGCGCGTCTCCCCCGGCAACGTGCCCAGCCCAGGATGCAGCCCTCTGGCTGGGCAGCAGCCAAGGAAGCGGCGGGCCGCGACGTGTTGGCTGCTGACCTGCGGTGCAGTCTCTTCGCCTCGGCCCTGCAGAGCTACAAACGAGACTCGGTGCTGCGGCCCTTCCCTGCATTCTACGCCCGCCAAGACTGCAAGGACTTTGAGGCCCTGGTGAGTGTGCTTTTCCACGACGCTCTACTATCCTCACCCCTGTTCCCCGCGTCCCTGGCCACGTGGTCTGTGGAACCACAGGCAGAGGTGGCTCCACCCGTGTTAGCAAACATGCTAGTCATTAGACTTGCCATAGATAGCCAGCCTGGCGTTGGGGAAGGTTTCCACCAGCTGAGTACACTCTTGACCCACTAATGTGGACACCCCTAAAACACTTGGCGGATGCTTTCTCTTATTAATGATAAGTGATTTCCAAGAGTTTCTCAGTTAAGAACTTAATAGTTGTACAACCCTTTACAGAGGAGCTGTGTGGTGGCGTAGTGGTTAAGGCACTCAACTGCTAATGAAAAGATGGGCTGTTGGAACCCACCAGCTGCTCTGTGGGAGGAAGATGAAGATTTACAGCCTTGGAAACTCTATGAAGCAGCCCTACTCTATCCTATAAGGTCGCTATGAGTTGGAATCAACTCACAGCAGTGGATTTATTTTTTAATTTTTTTTTATAGCCCTCCTTAAAAGTTTCTAGCTGGCCAGCAGTAGGATGTTGATCTGATTCAGCCGTCCTGCTAAGTAGGCATTTACCCATACCTTTGCAAATAATAAGATGCCAGAGTTATCAAAGCCACTCAGACCTTGATCGGCATTCATACGAGGTTCTATATGGGCAGGACTTATGTAAATTGTAGCAGGAAATACACATATGGTCTGCTATTTCTCTATGATTTACACAGCCCTTAATTACGTGCAGAGTTCACCTCAGGGTCAGCAGTCTAGGTACTAGTTAGCTTTGTGATGCAAACATACCAAGAAACCACCATAATTGATTCAATAAGAAACAGAAAATCAAAATAGTCCTATAGTCATTAAAGACATTGAAACAGTAGGCACAGATTACCCCTCAAAGAAAAACCCCAGGCTCAAGTGATTTCACTGGTGAGTTCTAACAATCATTGAGGAAATACTTCATGTAATTGCAGTTTTACATGGTCTTCCAGAGTATTGAAAAAGGGATAGCATAACCTTGATATTAAATCTGTAAGGACCCTACAAGTAATGAAAAGAATAGGCCAATATCATTTATGAACATAAAATGCAGAAATATGCTACAAAATATTAGGATCCAGAATCCAGCAAGCCAGTATGGGTTTATCCTAGGAAAGCAAAATTAGTTTAATGTTAGGAATCATTTAATGTGATGAATCATATTAACAGATTAAAGAAGATGTCAGAGTCAACAGATGTTCACAATGATCTCTGATGAGGTTGTCAGTGCCAGGTTGCCTCCTTGCTATTATAACTTCCAGGAGGCTAGGGACCCCACCTGGTCCATTGCAGCCCAGCCCAGGGATGGGTGTATTAAGGGAATCACAGGCCTTGACCATGGTCCAGAAGCTTTTTAGGGTACCAGGAGTGGGAAGGTCAGAGAAAAGGTTGAAACTCTGATGATTTTAACTCAGGTACTCAGTTTTCTGAGTTTATGATACCATCAGGGCCTTGGGGACAAAATTTTCTTCATTTCACTCAGCAGGTTTTTATGGAGTTTCTGCC